TAGGTTTTAACAAAATAAATCATCAGTAGTAGCTCGGGGTCTGGAATCGTACCTAGTATATGGCAATAGGCTCACTCCCTATTACATGGGACTCATAAAATAAATAGTGAAAAATGGGTGTTACATGGCATTAAGTGCCGTAATGTGCACTTCTTCCTACCCCTTGGGGAATAATAGGCTTGTTGTTATGTTATGTGTTATGTATTTGCTTCAAAGAGGAATATTATAGGTAAAAATACCTAAACTGAGTGATTTCAGACAACTGATTATTTTACTATAAGCCGTGTAATTAAAAAAAAATCTGAATAAAGATGCTATTTGATAAAATTAAATTAGGTATTCTATTCCAAATGAAATTTTAAAACATTCATATCACGACTCATTTTGGGTTGCAGTTTACAAATCTACTATTGCAATGTATATAAAGTTATATAAAAACTTATATGTATATTATAACCAAATATAACTCTACCCTATATATTTCACAATGCTCTAGGGGAAGATTCCTCTTGCTACGTGCTAAACGGCTAAGCTCTTAGAGGAAACGAATAAAATTCCAAAGTATTTGCAGATACTAGAACTTGTTGAAATGAATTAAGTGTTCAGTATAAAGTTTTTAAAAGCCAAGTAGCATAATTACCGTTTTCTGTTTACAAAACGCCACAGTGGTCATTGAATTTGACATGAAAAACTTGTACATATTTCCGTGATTTTTTTATGGTATAAGTCGGGAAACGAACAGACGGATCACCTGATGATAAGCAATCGGCGTCATAGATACCTGGAACACCAGCAGCGTTACAAGTGCGTTACCGGCCTTTTGGGGATTATGAGTTTGAGGATTGTTGGGGATTCAGGTATTGGGTAGATTAGGGAAGAAGGGAGGTAATTGGGCCTCCGGTAACCTCACATACGCGATGAAACAACGCAAGCATTGTTTCACGGCGATTTTCCGTGAAGCCGTGGCATCACTCCTGTCGAGCCGGCCCATTCGTACCGAAGTATCACTCCCCCACACTTAAAAGAATCCAGAACTAAATAAGTATAATAAAATTACTTTTAGACCTTAGTTTATTCTAAAACCCATACATTTAAATGAATCTTCGTAAAATTTTCACTATATCCTAGTATTGATCAAAGAAAGCACACAGAAACGCTCTTCCACCGATGTTTATGTGAGTCGTAGTATAGTTTATGTGGACGGAAAACGTGCGGACTCTTCGGGGACATGATCCGTCCGTTGTCCTCCATACATTAACCCAAGATAACATTTAGCATTCCATCCTTTAGTGTAAAGGTATGGTCGAAGATTTTTTTAGGCACATTCCTATTTTTTTCTTATAGAAATCTAGTGTAGGTACTGTATAGCAATTTTATTTGTGGTTAACTTATGTATTGATGGTTTATACAGTTTATTATTTTAATCTTATATACTATATACTGTTATACATATAAACCTCTCCAGTTTGTTCTTTGTTTGAACGTACTGATCTCCGAAACAACTGGTCCAATTAAAATAATCATTTTTGTGTTCGATAGTGCATTTATCGAGGACAGCTTTAGTCTATAAAACATCGCGCCGCAATCACTAGGAGTTGAGCAGAACGGGTGAAACTGCGTGGAACTGGCTAGTGTTTATTATCAGTATGACTTGTCTTCTATCTTCGAATTTAACCCTTGGTCGGGTGAAAATACAGGAGACGGTGCAAGGAGAGAGACAATTATATCAGGAAGATGACGCAAAACATAAGTTCCTCTTAAACATATTATATTTGTCTCATTTGACTCACGTCACGAGATTCAAGTGAACTCGATTCTTAAATCGTGACAAATATTTTTAGAATGTTGAATTTACATTTTAGCAATTACCATGTGTGTGCCAGGTGTCCATGGGCGACGCCGATTGCTTTCCATCAGGTGATCCGTCTGCACGTTTACCGGCTTATGCCATAAAAAAAAAAAAAAAAAATTACATTAAAAACCTAGTATATGACATTATGAACTTCAGAATGGATCATAAGCAATCAATTCACACTTAAAATATATTTTTACTGAAAATTTCCTATTTTTGTACTTCTTTAAATATTTGCTGTACAGTTTCCGTTGACACCAAGGATGCTAACGCCAAATATAACAAGTTAAAACAACAGCACATCAAGCTATACCAAATATCTTCAACAGATTTACGTCTTTACTACAACACTATAAAGTTAAAAATCTATGAAAGTTTGATAATTTGGTGTACAGTGTACTTTGATTTGCGGTTACATGAACCTTACTATATTGACTTAAGAACTATAGTCCCCATTCGCTAATTGCCATTATAAGTACCCTTTAAATGGTTTGACACGACATGGCGACGGGGTCTCACGATTATCCATTGTCACTGCTTGAGGCCTTTGAGGTGACGGTTTCGATACCACCACCATCATCAGTTCAGGTAGAAACAATTTAATGAATAATTAACGACATAATAGGAACTTTGATAAAATTCGCAAGGAGTTTCTGAATGTAAGTTGCTTCTTGGGTTAGAAGAAGTTAAGTAGAAGAAAAAGAGGTGATCGTGGTGGCCCGGAGGTTTACTACGCCCGTTTCTCATGGATGAGGGTGCGAGTTCAAAACCCACCGACGACGGCAAGTACCAATGTGACTTTTTCAATCGCATTGAGCAAGCGTGGTGATTAATGCTCAAACCTACTCCGTGTGAGAAGAGGCTTTGCTCAGCAGAGGGCATTTATGGGCTGTTGATGATGAAGTAGAAGCCTTGTTTGTAGCTAATATGACAGTAGACATTTTACAGGAAGAACACAGGTTAGTGTCTCATTAGTAAAAACCCCGGTTTCACCAAAACACTCGAAAGGTCCTAAGCAAACAAGGATATAAAATGTAATATGCTACTTCAATAATAAGTAACATTAAGATACCTACTTTAACTCTTTCGTATAATTAAGTGGTGACTGGCAACGTGACAGAAAGACAATACTTGTACCTACGTATTTTACAGCAAACTACTGCTCATAGAATAGTGAAGTTTGGAATGAAAGCTACATATTATATGGGACTATTAGAATAACTAGGAAAAAGTATAATATTCAGTACATTTTCGAACTATCGTTTCTGCGAATAATAATGTTGTCAATTATTATGTTTTCGGCTTACTCGCGGAATTGTTTGACGAGGAACTCGACTAGTTTCAAGACGTACTAGAGACTCATATTCATGAGCAGCATTCCGCGACCCACGACGCAGCAACTATCGCGCCACTACTGTCTGCTCGACTCCGCGGCAGTGCGGGCCCAAGGCGCCCTCTGCCGAAAACATAATGTCTCACGAAAGTTTTGATATAAATAATGTTGTCTGTATTCTATAGGTATACCTATTAATATAAACTATATACCGTCTATTTATCATGGAAATCACACCTGTGACCACTTCAGAAATAAAATATACAGAATGATCAAAGAAACAAACTGGCCCGATTTTATGTGCGACCTAAATTCCGTTGTTTCAGAATCGATTACATTTTTCTCGACATTTTTATGTTTGTTGAGCCTTCTTAGTAGAGTGGCAGCCAGTACGACTTCCGAAATTCTCTTTTCAATGGCATAGAATCATAACAGGCTGACCTCTAGTTACATGGAACTCATAACGCAACCAGAGAAAGAAGGTTATTGCACCCTTCCTTTAGTCGGGGAAATATGGGTGTTACCTTCATTGCATGTGTACATAAATATGTGCTTGTTTGCCTACCTCTTTGGAGATTTAAAATAGTTATATTATAGAAAAAGATATCTTCTGATTTGTCGTGAGAAGTTAATAGTTTTCTTAAGGGCATCACTCAGGACAAAAGTTCGACTGACATGTTCGTAGCAATTAATGTTGAAAATTTTTACTGCTTTTTACTTAAAAGTAGGACCTTCTATGTTACAAACAAACAACGCATTGTTATTCAACCATTCTGTATCAGATGTGCTTATCATTTGAATGCAACTAATTAGTTTTGCTCATTAAAACAATTGTTTATTAAATAAATCGAAGGATTTATACATGTTTAGATTATCTATCAATCAGAACACTATGAGATGCCGATTTTCAACATGTATCGTTCGCTGAAAACTCGGATATTTCTTTCGATGTATTTTTAACCGACTTTAAGATAGGGAGGCTCTCATTTTAACCTGTATGTATGTATGCTTGTGCGCGATTATCCTGCGATTAACTGAACCAATTTTGTTGCGGTTTCCAGAAAAGAAAAGTATTTTTGTTACACTTATGACAAGGTTTTAGTATAGGTAGGTAAGTAGATAGCTAGGTAATTAACCGAATTTAAAAAGGGGGGCTGAATCAAGCGTAGTTTATAAAAGAAATATTACATATAAGAATATTAGGATTTACTAGATTTAAATCTCTTAATGTTCGGTAAACACAAAGTCATTTATCAAATCGTGCAAAAATGTCAATGGAGTGAAACAGTGTACGATAATGCGCGTACGCAGTTCCCTACAAACACTGTCCAGTTGTGTTGTGTGCACTATTGTTAAATACCCATTCATGTTATTTTTCGTATCCAACGGTTTTATGTACACTGCTGTTCCAATGTAAGATGTTTCCTTTCTATGTTCTAACAAAAACGGCAATGGATTACATTGAAATATTTTTGCAATGATTCATGATTTTATCTTTTATTTTTTATACTATATGGAACGAATTTTTACATGTTTTCTTTATTTCCAGCAGTTTTATTGGAGTCTTGAATTTCTATACCTATCTTATTTCATATGCAGTCGTTTGAATTGCCATAGCGTTTAATTTGGTGTAACAACTGCTTCTTTAGATTCAATAGTCCATCTATTTGCCGAACTTCTATCTTATTTTGACTACTTGTTTCTGATAGGAAATAACTTTGATTATCCAGAAGGCGAAGGAAGTTTAGTATTCTTAAAACAAATTTAGCAAGAAATAAGGTATCATTGTCTTATTGTTGTTCTTGTTGTCACCAGATGCGATGATGGTGGAGGCGGCGCGGCGACAGGCACGGGCGGGCGTGCGGCGTCGCTGCGGCTCGCGAACGGGCGCGTGGCGGCTCAATCGGCCGAGCAGCTCCCGCACTCGCCAGCCGACTGCGCGTCCGTGCGCATTTCCATGGACAACACCAACACATGCTGCACCGACTCGCTCGTCACCGCCCTCGACGACGAGACATTGCTGCTAGGTAAGACTGAAAGATATAAACGTACTTTTTTACTTGCCTTCCAGCACAATGATGTCTTTGTATGAAAAAGCTGAAGAAAATACATTATGTAGCACGTTTTCAAATGTTATACATTGACACTTCCAAATTTCCTCCACAGACGGTTTTCTTTTAGGGAATATGAATAAAAGTGGGAGAACCCAGAAGGCTGAAACTGTGTCACACAAACTGATAATGCTCTTTAATATGTATTTAATATCATTTCTTCTACTGAAAAACCGACTTAATTCAATAAAATGACAATTTTAATTTAAAATAGACATAAGTAGTCCTGATTCGTGACGGTATTTTCTCGCTCGTATATTGGCTAGGAGGCTAGGCAGATTTAAATCAAATGCCGACGCCTGCGACCTCTGGAAAGGTCGTAATATGTTGGCATGTAGTTCCTTGGACAATAAGATTGCTTACGTATGTAGATACAACCCCGCTTTACTTTTATATAGGCTAAAACTTAAGTTAATGATGTCACTATCATCTGCCATTGTCTTCGCGAGTTAGGTTACAATTTAGGTACTACATTATTTCTATCATTTATGTGATGATAATTATATTTCAGATCACATAATTATAAATACTATATTACCCTTGATTGACGAGGAATTCGACTAGTTTCAAGCCATACTAGAGGCTCGTATTCCCGACACACGACACGGTGAGTGTCTGCAATCGAATTTCTAATCAGAAATTCTAAAAATACTATAATGATTCCGAGATCTCTAGCATAGTAGTTGCAATTACCACCAGTACACTGCTGTTCATAGGTACTTATGAATATTTGTACATAGTACTAAATAAACTTATACTATTTTATTTCGACAATAAACTATATCGTTACTTTATGAATGAAACATAAATTCCGGGAATACAATATACAATGTACCTATGATTTCAGTGGTATTTTATTTCCATTCTTATATTTAAACTTTTATAGTTCGATTTAGATTCTCAGGTCAATAAAATTTGGTTAGCTATATATACGATATAAATATGTACACAGAAATACAATCATATAACATTCTTATGTTATTAGTTACTGAGATATACTTCTGCAGCTGTAGCCAAATGCCACTTAGCGCTTGTCTACATGTAGAATAGACAACCAAATTATATGGGATTGACGTCAATTTTGACGTCCCCATACATTTAGTTTTCTACTCTCTCTCTGTAGACAAGCACTAAAGTGGTATTTGGCTAAACGCACAGTACAGAAAGGTTACATTCAAACCGAAATAATTCATAATTTGTAGGTAAAAAGTCCTCTCTTGAAAATAGAGAAAAATAAGAACGAAATTATACGAACTAGCATTCTGTAAGAGCATTTTTACAATAAATATACTTAAAGTGCAAGTTTAATACAGTTATAGGCGGAATTTTGTACTATCACGCTAGTACGACCACTCTTGCATCCAAGAAACTACGGAAACATCAAAACCAATCACATCAAACACTCAGATTGACCAACAAACGACAAGTGATCATGCATAACAATAACTAACACTCAGTGAAACCCCTTCCATAGATACAACAATAAACATTCAAAAAGCTACTATGTTTACGACTACTTATAAATGCACGGAAAACCGCATTATGGAATAAAATGCATGTTTGATGATCCCTATCACGCATTTAATAATGACGTGATATTCACAAAAGACAATAAATTACATTTAAAATTCTTCAATAAAAACCCTGAACTATTTCTCCCAATATGACGTTAGAAGTACTTACGTATCACACTAAGTTTGTGGTAAAGAATCCAATGAGCCAGCATTTCAATAGAATTTATTCAGCTTGCACACATAAACAGCTGAATTGATCTTGATGGATTTTTAAATTAAATCAAGAGTTGGGAGACGGTTGTTACTTCTTTAACAAAGAATAATATTTGTTCTGAAATCATTATCTAATTTTGCAAACTATAAATAACTAGGAAAAATCCGTCCATAGTTCTATTTAAACGACACACAGACAATAATAAAATTTTTAGAGCACTTCCGAATACCAGTAACTCATAAAATAACAGTTTAAAAATAACTATCCGTTCCAATTACAACGTTATTTCGGTTAACGATTCGATAGTTAAACGCACATTGGTATTCTTAAATCGAAAACTGAAGTCGCTGATTCATTGTCTAAAACTATACTTGTAACGTCAGGGTCAATGGCAGAACCGATTAGTGAAAATGTGGCATCTCTATTTTTTTACTCAAGTTTTCTAACTTCTCAATTAATAGATCAAACTGTCGTAAACCAGGCTTAGATTCTAGTATCAAAGAGGTGACAAGTGTTGCCTAGGCCATCTGAATACCAAACGTCGTTCAGGACGCTGTAAATCCCCTAGGGTTTAAAAAAGGCGGGGACTTACCATACGCGCAGTAGGCAAAAGGAATAAGATGGTTTCATAAACGAAAGACCCCACAACACTATATACTTGACCCATAAGTACCTACCGACACCGAACAAGTAATACCGATATTGAATTTTTAAATTCATTATAGCATGTGATTCGCAGCCTAAAACCCAACCATTCAATTTGAATTCTATTCTGTGCTATTAGGTACTTATAACTCATTAACATAATCACAATGAATTAACAATTTCTGCAATGATCAGCTATCCTCCAAACCGCAAATAACATGTCTAAGTTACATATTTTGTAATAATTTAAACTGTTAAAATTAAACATTACTAAGCTCTACAGACTACAACGCCGAAGGCAGCAGGCCAACCAATGCTAATCTATGAATTCTGTCATTAAACTTTCGACTGTATACCAAAACAACAAAGTTGAAAATCTAATTTTCCAGAAAGGAGTGACTTGACCTGCGGTGGACTGTCCCTGTACATCAATATCAATAGTTTACGCCTAGTATGAGGGTCCATAGGTAATTACGTATCCTCTGCAAACAGACTCCGGACTGATAGGAACGAGTACGATCCTGATCATTGCTGATCCTATTATCCTAGTCCCAGACCATTTGAAAGTCAAATCATTTATTCACAATAGACTATAAGGCACTTATGAAAGGATAAGCAAAAAAAATGTAATGTATTAAAACTATTCAGTTTTCACGAGTAAAAAAATTATATCTACTTACATATTTTTGGTGAAAGGGACCAACATTTAATATAAAACCAGTGTTCTTCAAATTTTACTAGGAAAGTAGTATGCAATAAAACTCTTTTTGCGCTCCATATTTTAACTACCCCAGTCACGTTACTATAATGACTACAAATTCGTCTTGATCTCTTTTTATATTTTGCCGCTGCCCGCTACGCACCGCTCAATCAAGGGTCTCAAGTATTTGTTTCTAAGACAAAATGGCTGACGATCTTTTATACTTAAGATGTCAGATAATGATACCTTTGAGCTATCAAGACTTATCGGGACACCTGTAACATGAACATTTGAAAAACGTATCATTAAAAAAATTACCGCTTGCGTCATTTGTAACGTACAATATTTGCACAGGTAAAAGTGATTTGTATTCGTCAGTCGCCACAGTGGGAAGTACCTTCTCATTCAGTACTTTTAGTACTTTACCCAAATACTATCTACAATTTACTAGCTCGACGTAGGTACTACTAATAACCCAAAGAAAAAAGTAACAAAGGCTGTATGAATCGATTACATAAGAAAGGTTACTAAAATGTTTCGCCAAAAACGAGTAAAAGGTCACCGCTTGTACTTCCGTCTGCATTTAGATTTTTTGCCGGCGCGAGTGAATCACAGAAATGCCCGCGGACCATCGTAACGCTCCGGAACTCGGTCGCCAATCACAGTTTAATTTTTTCCAACACACACATACACCGGAACAACACGGACACAAATAAGAGTAAAGAGAAGATTCGGTGCGCTCTGGCAGCACGCGCGGATACGAAGCACATTTCCTAAAACAATTAAGGCGCACCAGCACCTCATTAAATTTGCAATGTTGACGCCACTCTCCGAACCGTTAAACATTCAGCGATATAGCGCGCTTGCTCATACTTCGATCGAAAAGATACTGATAGGAATTTTGACTAGTAATAAATACAAACTGTAGCAAGCTCTAGGGAAAACCTCGAAATTAAATTGAGCTCCACCAATGATTGGAGCGCCGGCAATCGAGTGGGCATCACGGAAAGACAACCGTGTGTCTGTCATTAACACTATTCTGTATGTTCATTTTCAACTAATTGAGTCCCCCATACAATCCTGTAATTCTTGTAAGTTTTTAAAAGCCCAATTTAGATACCTAGTAATTTAACGAGTGTAATTTTCCAATTAGCAATAGTTCAGCTTTAATTATCCGCACATAACGTGCGTGTAATTGGTGCAATTTGTAGTTTGACATTGCATTAAAATTCGGTGGCGGATTGTTTAGTTTGGGCAGCAGGAACAGGCTATCAAGCAGTTAGCATTGACCATGAATGGTGGGCATGTGTGATGTGCGGGCAGCGATGAGGGCAGACAGGAGGCGAGGCGCGCATGGCTCGCTTCCGCGGCCGAGTGGCGACTCGCTCCGAGCGCTGAGCAGTCCTACGCCGCCCAGTGGAGCGCGATGACATGCCGCGCTCAGCCCCCCACGACTAAAGCTCCGTGCACACGCGATCCAAGCTCGCCGACCATACGTTAATACAAACAAAACAAATCGTGTCTCGCGAGTGCAGTGATTTATTTATCGAAGGATTTGTTTCAACCAGTTCGAAATTATTCAAGAAAAAATGACGCGAAGGGGATTTTGTCACGTTCGTAAATGATTTGAATTTCAGTGTCAAAGCTTATAAATGTTGTACATGTCTAAATGTTCGGGTTTGTTTTGTCTCGTCAGCTGGGGTCTAACTAGGGGACTAACAATGAAATTGAATTTAAAACTATGAATGGGGAACAATTAGGTAATATCGTACGATACCTCTAAAAATATTAAAGTGTAAAAAAGACTCGACAATTCAACCAAGTATTAATCAAAACAGTAAAA